CAGAAGAGGAGCAGCTGGGTCTTGAACGATATGGGCGCTGGCACTTTAGGTGGCCCCTCGTGGTCTGAAATAGGGAAGTAGAATATAATTAGACAGAAGGAGAAAAGAGAGGAAAGTATTCACAGGAGCTCTTGCACGGTATAATGCCTTGTGGTATCTGTATGATATTGGTTTTCCTGATTCTGCACTTTCTCTGCCATGGAAGCAAGAGGTCATTGCTTTTCATTTCCAGCTAGCATGTTAGTTACCCTACCTCCTGGGGTTAAACATCTCTGCAGTGACCTGTCAGAGAGTTGATTATTAGCTGTATAAGGCCAGGGATGCTGTAAGGAGCAGATGGGAAGTGGTTTGGCTGTTGCAGCTAGGCTGATTAAAGATTCCTTGGCAGTTTTACAGTGTGCCTTTGGAAATGTACCACCAAAGTTACTGTGAAGCCTGCAGACTTTGGAAAGCTGACTTTTTCTGAAAAGTTACCTGGTAGAAAAGTAGTGCTTATAAAACCCTTATACTCTCCAAAATAGGATAGGGGCTCTCTAAAATGACATTAGGACCACTAAAGATGGGTCTTCAGGATACTTTGTGCCCTGGTCATCCAGAAATTATTACTAGTTTTCTGGTAGGAAGAGAACTTTTTGATGGGTACTTTAGTAGAACTTTAGATTTGAAAAGGCCCTAGGCATGTCCAGAATAACCATATCACACATAGGGTAATCTTATCTATTTGCTTGACAGGTGATTATGCTTTGTCAGCTCAGATACTTCCAATGGTGATGACATGGCTCCTTAAACATTGTGGGTGATTGCTGGAAATCTCATGTTATTAAATTTCTTCCCAAGTTAAACATCTGTCTTCTGTAACTTCTACTCACCGATCCTATTTCTGCTCTCAGCATTATAGAATAGCCTTCTCTTTGCCACATTGCAACCACCGTATATTTGAGGCTAACCAGCCTGTCTGCTTTTGGTTTTTTCCTTTCCAGACTAAGGAATCCTGGTTTCTAAGCCCTTCCTTCTTAGGAAATGGCCTTCCAGTTTTTTACTATACTGTGTTCTGTAGGTCATCCTTTTGTTTAACGAATGTCTCACTTAAGATGTGGAAATGAGTACAGATCATCAGTTGTTCTTTCCATCTCCATCCCCTTTTTCAGAAGACGCACAGTGTTTTAAAAATGTAATGGCAACATCATGTGCTTACTAGAAAAAACGAGTCAGAAAAACCAAAACAACAATTTGCCATCCCATGTGAAATTGGAAGAAGGAATTTGAGCAAGTGTCATCTTTGTAACTTAGGGCTTATCTTTCCTTGTTGATGTTAAGGCTGAACTTTTTTTTTTTTTTTTTAAGATTTATTTATTTATTTGAAAGGGAGAATGAACAGAGAGAGAAGGAGAGACACGGAAAGCTCTTCCATCTGCGGGATCACTCCCCACATGGCTGCAGCAGCCAGAGTTGGGGCAGGCTGGAGCAGGAACCAGGAGCTTCATCTGGGTCTCATGTGGGAACAGGGGCCCAAAGACTTGGGCCATCGTCCACTGCTTTCCCAAGCACATTAGCAGAGAGCTGGATCATAAGTGAAGCAACTGGGACTTGAACCAGCACCCATTTGGGATGCTGGCACTGCAGGTGGTGGGCTTACCCACTATGTCACAGTGAAGGCCCCAAGTTTAGCTTTTTAAATTGATTTTGTTGAAAGTGTAGTGAACCTTTTCATTTTGCATGTAGGATCTTGTTCAGCTCAGGATGTTATTCATTTATTACATCTTTTGTTTTTTTGTTTTGTTTTTAAAGATTTATTTATTTATTTGAAAGAGTTAAACAGTTAGAAGGAGAGGCAGAGAGAAAGAAAGAGAGAGCGCTCTTCCACCTGCTGGTTCACTCCCCAGCTGCAATGGCCAGAGCTGCACTGATTTGAAGCCAGGAGCCGGGAGCTCATGTGGGTGCAGGTGCCCAAGCACTTGGATCATCTTCTGTGCTTTCCCAGACCATAGCAGAGAGCCAGATCAGAAGTGGAGCAGCCAGGTCTGCATCTGGCGTCCATATCAGATGCTGGCACTGCAGGTGGCAGCTTAACACACTAGAGGCCAGCCCCTTATTATATCTTTGATAAGTCACTTTCCTTTTGTTTGTTCCCGTCTCATCCATTTCCCTTCAGTGGTATTCAGTGCTGTGTCTATCCGTTTCCTTCACTGTTCTCTTTTCACTCTCCTCTTCCTTTGCATTCTGGAAAAAGCTTACATTTTCTTGTAATTCACTGATTCATTTTTCAGAGTTAAAAGTTTTGTGCTTTTTGGATTTATGTATGAATTTTAGCTGATGTTGCATTTTTCCTTTCTCTGCATCTTTGTTTAAAAATTTTATATCCTTTTGTCATTTCAACCAAATTATGTCTTTTCATTTCAGCCTTTTATCTTTTTAATTCTGTCTCTTCCTTATTGGCATGTTTTGCCAGTACAGTAGCTAAGCACTAACTGTTAGTTTTTGTTATAATTTATTGTTTTATTTGAAAGGCAGAGTGACAGAGAACAAAAGAGATCTTCCATCTGCTGGTTTATTCTCTAAATGTGTGTAACAGGCAGGCTTAGGCCAGGCCAAAGCCAGGAGTCAAGGAGCCAGAATTCCATCTGTGTTTCCCGCATGAGTGACAGGAACCCAGGTACTTCCGCCATCATCTGTTGCCTCCCAGGCTCATTAAGAGGAAGTTGAATCAAGCCCGAAGTAGCCAGGACTTGAACATCCCATGTGGGATGCAGGTGTCTCAGGTAGCAGCTTAACCCACTGCTCCACCAACCCTCTCTTTTGATATGTTTAAATGCTTTCCTTTATTCCTCTGGAGGGCTTTCTTTATCATCTTTTCTAGAAGAAAGCCTTTTGACTCCAAGGGAATGTTTTGTGTTTCCAAGGGTAAACAACATGGCATTATTCTAATGGTTAAATTATGTACTGATGGCAGTATAGCTCTGAAGCGTTGGTGGTCAGCCTTAGTTAAAGTGGGTTATGCTCTAAGCCTAGCTACAATTGCAGACATTGCATGGGTGATAAATTATGATGTGGGGAAGAACTGTGCTCCAATAATTCTCTGTAGTGGAGATTGAGTTGGCATTCCTTTTCCCAAAAATGTCCTCTGCCCTTTACAACAAAATTATTTTCAGTACCGTGTTCCACTGCCTATTCGCTATTTTATTTGCTGCTGTATTTCCAGGACCTAATTTAATGTCTGCCACACAGTAGGCAAGAAATAAATTTCAAATGAATAAACAAACATCTACTACACAACTCTTTCATGGAGACCAAGTCTTCTTGTATAGTGCTGAGAATTCCAAACAGTTTACTTAAATTTCCTCAGGATCCTAGATCATTTCCAAAAGTGCCATGTCTCTGACTCTTCAGGCTTGTGTTGCCTTTCTTTTGTGGGCAACATTTTTTTTTCTTAGTTCCTACATCATGTTTCCCCTGCACATACTTTTTGCTAATCCTTTATGAAGTATTGATGTGACTTGACGTTTGCTAATAAACAGTAGTTGGTGCATTTGGTACTAAGCTTTCTACTTGGGAAATGGATGTATTTTACTTTCAGGTCTACAGCTAAGTGGCAGATTAATGTGCATACCGCTCTCTTAAATCTCAATTGCTAGTAGGCATTCAACTGGCACAGCTTTCCTCTCTTGGGATGCCATCTTTTCTTGCCCCTGCACCCTAGTTGACATTGTTCTAAGGGAGTAGGTAAAAAAGTACTGTCTTCTCTCTGTCCTATCTGTAACATTTACCTGTTAGATATCCACTTTGCAGAGTACATTGTGACACCACTCTTTGGCTCTTTCTACCCAGTTATCTTAGGAAAGTTATTCTCTAAATGTATATAGAAGGCTGGTGGATAGAGGGGTAAGCAAGAGTGAAACTTGACTTTATCATAAGAAATACCTGATTGTGTGTGTTGACTGGCAGATTTTCTAGATGATACAGCCCACAGGTCTCCCGAGTCAGGAGACAGTGTACTGATATAAATTGCCCTTTAATACTCTCCTCCCTCCCTCCTTTTTAAGCTGATCTCTGCTTTATGTGGTGTGAGGCACTGATGGTCGTCAGTCCAGTGCCATCAATCTTACAGACGTGCAGGAGATAGGAATGTGCTCTTGCTCTTTCGTTCTCTCTGCCTCTCAAATAAAGAAAGAAAGAAATACAAGCTGAAAAAAGTGGAGAGTTATCCCATGTCCTGGTTTTTTTGTGGCATCTAGTTTTTGGTAAACACTCTTTTCCTTTTCTGTGTCTTTGTACATATTCTAGTGGGACATGGCAAAGACCAGATGTAATTTGAAACCTGGAGTTTGATAAGGCTGATTTAATTTTAAAGACTTGAGTTAATTGATTGAGTCTGCTCTGAGAATAGTCTCTTCTAGTCTTTGCCCCTTCTCCTGAAGCTGCATTTTCCCTGGTTCTGCTGGCTTTTCTGTTTTATTTAACCCTAATAGGACTCCCCCTAACCACCACCACGATAGCAGAATCACAAAGAAGTCTATCCTTTTTTTTTTTTTTTAAATAGGGTCATGCCCTTCTTAGAGGGCTTTTAAAGCTTTGCTAGATCGTGTTCTGAGTCTCTGATAATCAAGAAGCAAAGAGAAAGAGGGTTTGGGTAAAATTATGCTAGAGCTTGAATCTGTGATAAGCCAGGACCTGTTCAGAATGAGAGGATTGCCAACTGGCAATGGTAGTAAAACTAAGTCTCAGAAAGGGGAAGCTAACTTTAGAGGACTCCTAGTTAAGACTTACCACAGAATCTCTGGGCAATTGAAAATAGTGTATTCTCCCCTGGGGAGACGGAGTGGGAATTAACCTTTCCCTAGGTCCTGTGTGACTTGGTTAGAAATACAATCGAACCTGTTTGTCTTGTCCATTGTGATGTGATAGCTACATAGGAAGGGTCTGTTTTGTGTGGGAGTTTGTTTCAGGCTGTCTCCTTGCCTGTATTGTTTCCTTTAACAGCTTTTTAAATTTTCTTTTTCCAGCAATGATGTTGTCCACTGGGCATGTACTGACCAATGTGGCAGGTCTGAGAACATAGCTGAAGCTGAAAATAGGAAAGCTGGGGGCAAGGAAGAGCCTTGAATCTTGAGGTGGGACGTTGACTCTAAGATGTCCTTGAGCAGTGGAGCCTCCGGAGGGAAAGGAGTGGATGCAAACCCGGTTGAGACATACGACAGTGGGGATGAATGGGACATTGGAGTAGGGAATCTCATCATTGACCTGGACGCCGATCTGGAAAAGGACCAGCAGAAACTGGAAATGTCAGGCTCAAAGGAGGTGGGGATACCAGCTCCCAATGCTGTGGCCACACTACCAGACAACATCAAGTTTGTGACCCCAGTGCCAGGTCCTCAAGGGAAGGAAGGCAAATCAAAATCCAAAAGGAATAAGAGTGGCAAAGACACTAACAAACCCACTCCAGGGACTTCCTTGTTCACTCCAAGTGAGGGGGCAGCTAGCAAGAAAGAGGTGCAGGGGCGCTCAGCAGATGGTGCCAATGCAGGAGGTCTGGTTGCTGCTATTGCTCCCAAGGGCTCAGAGAAGGCGACTAAGGCGTCCCGCAGTGTAGCCGGCTCCAAAAAGGAGAAGGAGAACAGTTCGTCTAAGAGCAAGAAGGAGAGAAGCGAAGGAGTGGGGACTTGTTCAGAAAAGGATCCTGGGGTCCTCCAGCCAGTTTCCTTAGGAGGACGGGGTGGTCAGTATGATGGAAGTGCAGGGGTGGATACAGGAGCTGTGGAGCCACTTGGGAGTATAGCTATTGAGCCTGGGGCAGCGCTCAATCCTTTGGGAGCTAAACCGGAGCCAGAGGAAGGGGAGAATGAGTGTCGCCCGCTAAAGAAAGTCAAGTCTGAAAAGGTAAGAGGTGGCCAGATCTGGCTGCCCACTGCCAGTCAGAACTGCCCTGGACTAACCACCAAATGCTATGTGTACTCTGTGGGAGGCTCATTAGTTTGTGGGTAATGACCAATTACAAGGTCAGAGCAGCTGGTAATGATAATGTGGTTTTGTTCCAAATTAGAGGATTCCCTGCTGACTCATTTGCAGCAGGTCTGGACATTTTGGAAAAGGATATCTGTTGTTGGGGGTAGCTACTTGGGAGAATGAATTTTCTGTAGTCTGAGTGGAGATCCTGTCCTACCTCAGACACTTGTTGCTGGAGGATGGCATGAAATCTTTATGTGGGTCACAGCTTGACTGGCATTTCATCATCAGAGTCGTAATTGTTGATAAAGTTAATAAGCTTTTGGTTAAATGTATAGGTTGTGTGCTCTTGTTAATGGGATAAATGGTGCTGCTGGCTCTCTGGAAGATGAAAGGTTAATTAAGATTCATGGGGTATCTCTTCAGTATTGTCTTGGTGATACCAAGAGCAAAGGGACACAGGTAAGCAAGGGGCAGGAGGTAATAACTGTACCATGAGGTGCTGAACGAGGCCTTAGGAGTTAATGTTTTGGCTATGAAAGTTTGGCCTAGAAAGAGATTCTTTGGCCACTAAAGTTGTAGTTCTTTGGCAGGTATCTCCTGCAACTATTGGGAATCAAAGTTTCCTTGAGGTTCTATCGCTGCCAAATAGTATAATGATACCTTGCCTTCTGCTTGACTTGGGAAGATGAGTGACTGCAGTCCCATGAGGTGTTAGGACTGAGTCCCTACTCTGGGGAGATGATACTTGGTGTTTCAGGAGCTTGTGGGGCTGGAGTAAAGTAGATGTGAGTTTAGGGTCAGCACTGGCTGCCTTAAACTTCAGCAGTTGACAGTTTCCTACAGAGCTGCTGTCCTGGTGATGAGCTATTCATTGGCCCTCGATTTTCTGCTCTGTGCTCTGCTAACCCTGTACTTTCAGCTGATCCCAGCAGATGCAGTATAAATTGATTTATCTGTGATTACATCAGATGCAGCAGGGAATGCCTATTTCCATATATAAGTGTTAATAATAAATAAAGACCGGATGTGTATGTTTGGGTGGGGGTATCCTCTTAGTGCCTGAATTTTAGTGGTAGCCTCTGGCACATCTGTAGCTTTTAGTAACATCTGGGCTCCTCTGGTAACAGAGCTGTGAATTTCTTCCACTAATAACACAATGGCTCATTCCCATTTACCAGTGGCAGCTGCCAGAGAGGCAGCCTGTGTTTAGGTGGCAGATGCTATAGTCCACCTCAGCAGAGTCAAGTTCCAGCTGGTACTGGCATGGCTCATCTTGTGCTGGCTGTGATTTGCTATTTTCTCTGGGGTACAGATGGATAATACTGTTTTAAAGAGGCCTAAGAGCACTAGAAGTTCTTGCTTCTGTTCCAGGCCCATTAGACTGTTCCCTACATCTGGCTTCAGGAATTCTGTCTGATAACTGTGTTCATAATCATTACTCTTCCTGTCCTGAAAAGTGTTTGTGAGGGTATTCTTCATTTTCTTTTCTGTTTAGTGTACCTCAAGCATGTTGCAAGTCTTCTAAGCCTGCTAGTAGTCTGTGAGTGAAAGGATTAATATTGCGTAGCTTCATATTGGGTTTAAGTCTAAATGTCCACAGTTGGCTCCAACAAAGAAGCAAATGGAAACCATTTCCTCTCAGATGTGTTCAGGGACTAGTTGGCTGACTGCCCTTCAGATTATAATTGGACTGTGTATTTAAGGTAAGAATATACGTTGGTGCCAAGGAGTTTTGCCCCCTAATAATAGAGTTTTCCTGTAAGACTTGCTTCTCAGGGAGACTGAGAATAGGACAGCAAAATGAGAGAGAAACTGCTTCAGTGTTTGAAATAATGATAAAATTAATAAGAAGTACTTTTAGAAGCAGAAAATTTGTTGTGCAGTTGGATGTTACAAAGAGCCTGCTTTTTCAATTCCTTCCCCTGTTCCCTCAACCCTTTTAGAAAGTCTGGTTCTGGGGGTGACTTACCATATTGCCTTTGGCCAATGAAATAAATAATTATTTAAGTGTTTGGAAGTTGCTAGGAGATGAAAACACACTGTAGGGAGAGAGCATTCTGGAAGTTAAGGAGGGGAAGAGGCAAATGAAAGAAAGTCAGGAACCTGTCAGTAGAGCAGATAACCTGAGGGTTTGGGGCATAGTAGGTGTTCAGACAGTGTGTGATGATTAGTACTATGGTTTTAAGTCAAGTCTTTGAAAACCTCTCTAAGATTCTGCTTCTGAGATATGGGCTTGCCTATGGTCTAACTGGTTTGGAATGTTCCTTCTGTGTAAGGACAACCAGCAGAACCAAAACAGCAAAACAGATGTTTTGATATAATCTAAGAATCGCAAACTCTTAAGCTGGGAACTGTCATGAAGAGGGAAAACTCATAAAGTTTGGAAAGTGTCTTGACTGGAGTCTTTTCTCCCCATGGAAATAGGAGAGAAGACAATGGAGTCTGAGGTTCAGTTGTCACATGTTAACCACTAGCTAATGAGGGAGATTTGAATATTCAAATTTTGTACCTTAGGGCCTTCTCTGTCATCTAGGTATGGATCTCAGGCTGTGGGTGAGGACTTCCTTCCTTCCTTCCTTCCTTCCTTCCTTCCTTCCTTCCTTCCTTCCTTCCTTCCTTCCTTCCTTCCTTCCTTCCTTCTTTAAAGATTTATTTATTTATTTGAAAGATTTAACACAGAGAGACAAGGAGAGGCAGAGAGAGAGACATCTTCCATTCTGCTGGTTCACTCCCCAATTGGCTGCAACAGCTAGAGCTGCAACGATCTGAAGCCAGGAGCCAGGAGCTTCCTCCAGGTCTCCCATGTGGATGCAGGGGCCCAAGGACTTGGGCCTTCTTCTACAGTTTTCCCAGGCCATAGCAGAGAGCCGGATCGGAAGTGGAGCAGCCAAGTCTCGAATCAGCACCCATGTGGGATGAGGCTTTACCCGCCATGGCCCCACGCCAGCCCCTGAAGGCATTTTCTGTTGGCCAAGGGTGTGAATTTCTGATTATGGGGTCCCACTTGTGCTCCACTGCCCTTCTGGCAGGTGTACTGTGTTTCCCAGAGTTCTGGGGGAGACCAGAGATGGCTCTTAGCAGCTGCTGCTGCCCTGAATTGTTGCTGAACACTCCTGCCTCCTGCTTCCTGCCCGCTGAAGAGATGGGGGAGGGAATGTTGAGGAATAAACAAGACAGAGCCTTCCGGCTCCTGCCTGTTCCCTTGCCTTTGGTTTGATTGATAGGTTGTTAAGTTAAGGATGGAAAGGGAGGTGGCGAGGAGGGAGGGCGCCTGTCTGAGTGTCCTGAGTTTAGTGCTTGTGTCGCCACTCTGACAGGCAAGAAAAAAGGCATTTACAAATCACAGACAGCAGTGATCTATCTGTGCTGCTCTGTCACAGCTTATGACCAGCCGTTTAAGGTGAGATCCCCTTTTTCTGTTTTCCAAATCATATAAGGTGACCAGTAGGCTCTAGGGGCTCAAGAATCTAGAAATCTGCAACTAGAAGCTCCCCCTGGTTTCTCTTCAGTGCTGCTTTTGATCTTGCAAGCTAGGAACACTGCGCTCTGCTTTCCCCATGTTTGTGTCAGCTCTATGGCTTTCAGAATGTTTCCTATGTTTACTACTTCCTCATTAGTTTAGGATACAAAGAAAGCAATTAAATGTGTTCTTTGCTCTTTCACCTTCTGATCATGTGTGTTATCATGTCCTGTGTTCTAAGAGCATCTTCCTTTGCCCTTGGTTTTTATTTATGTCCTATTTTATGCCTTCCAGCTCATTTTTCTTGTGTTGCAATCTCTTGTTGCCCAACCAAGGTCAGGTCTCTTTTATTCCTTCGCATCCAAGGCTTCCTTTCTTAATGCTGTCATCCTTGCTAGCTGTTCTTTCTCAGCTATTGATGGCAAGGTAGTCAGTCTTGCTTCTCAGAGCCGAATACCCTCAAGCAGTTTCCTTCATGGAAAAAATAAAACAAGTTGATATTTATATGGAACAGAGTCACATTCTCTATAAATTATTTTTTTCATTCAGCAACTCTGTTTTCCTTTTGTGTATTGTAATTCAAGGAATGCCCAGAAAAAGATTCGTCTTGTCCGGTTTCCTCAATTTTTTAATGGAGGAAACTTAAAACCAAGGAAGTTATGTGATTTTTGCCAGTGTCTTACATGTTGTCAGTTGCAAAGCCAAATTCAGAAGTCAGATTTCTGGATACTCAAATTTTTTTTTTGAGATTTATTTTTATTTATTCTAAAGGCAGAGTTACAAAGAGAGAGAGTCAGAGACAGAGATAGATCTTCTATCCACTGGTTCACTCCTCAAATGGCTATAACAGCCAGCGCTGGGCCTGGCCTAAGCCAAGAGACCAGAACTCCATCTGGGTCTCCTGTGTGAGTCGCAGGAGTCCAAGTACTTAGGCCATCTGCTGCTGCTTTCCCACATGTATTATAATCTACAGAGCTGGATTGGCAGTGGAGCATCTGGGACTCAAACTGCCTTTCATGTGGGATATTGATGTTACTGGTGGCAGCTTAACCCTCTGTGCCACAATGCCACCTGGACACCCAGCTCTTACAGCATGTTGTTACTCTGGGTTTCGTTTCGTTTCTTTCTTTTCCTTCATCCCTCCCTCCCTCTTTCTTTTTAATATTTATTTATTTATTTGAAAGGCAGACGGTGTTACAGAGAGAAAAAAGGGAGCGCGAGAGAGAGAGAGAGAGTCTTCCATCCACTGGTTCACTCCCCAAATGGCCGCAATGACTGGGATTGGGCTGATCTGGAGCCAGGAGCCTCCTCCTAATCTCCCACATGGGTGCAGGAGCTCAAGCACCCAGGCCATCCATCCTCTGCTGCCCTCCCAGGCACATTAGCAGGGAGCTGGACTGGAAGTCGAGTGGCCAGGACTCAAACTTCTATACCACAGTCCTCTTTTTTTTTTTTTTTTTTTCTTTTAGCA